CAAGACCTCTCTTTACTTATCATCCGTTCTAGAAATTTTAACTTTCTTTTTCTGATTTTAAGTGTCCGTTTGTTCCCATTTTCTTAAAACTGACTCTTTGCATACATACTTCATCCATGACATTCTTATTATCCTTCTGTAGAACGCATTTTTGTTGTCTCAAATTTCTGCTTCATATGTAAGAAGATTGTCTTACATTCACTGTCGTATATGATGAGGATTAATATTACATAGCAGTTCAGCAAACTTTTTATTTGTTTTTAATGATATTTTCATGTTTCTTAATACTTGTCCTGTGAGTGTCAAATTTTCTATGCCCTGCTTTCTTTATTGTGTGTTCCAGAATGTTATGGATGAATCTGCATCTGATGACAACAAAGTTACCTTTTAGGCCAAACCTCCATATTGGAGAATTTATATTACAGAGGGACCTAAGGTTAGAAATGGCATCATGACACCTTCCACTGACAAAAAAAAAATTACATAGATAAAGCCCTTCGTAAAGTGTGGGCTGTACTTGTCAGAACAATTTTTTGTATCTTCTTGAGGCATGGATTTCCAGGAATCCCTTCAATTAGTCTTTTCCAACCAGTCCTAGGGCTCCAACTACAACAGGGATTGTTGATGTTCCCATATGCCACATTTTCGAGATTTCTATTTCAAGGTCCTTGTATTTTGACAGCTTTTTGAATATCTTCAAAGATACATTGCAGTCAGCAGGGACTGCCATATCAATAAGGAGGCACTTTTTTTGTTTGTGGTCTTTAATAACAGTGTCTGGGCGGTTGGCTTTGTTATTATTATTATTATTATTATTATTAATATCATTATTATTATTTGTATCTTATTATTATTTCCTTTGATTTCTGTTGCATAAACATTTCCTTCTGGGTTCCAACCAGAGATTAAAGGTTAGAAATGGTTTCATGCCTTTATCACTGATCATTTTTGTAAAAAAAAAAAAAATAAGATCACCCACATTTTACATAGATAAAGTCCTTTGTGAGGTGTGGGCTTTGCTTGTGAGTACAATTTTTTGTATTTCTTTAAGGCATGGGCTACCAGAAATCCCTTAAATGAGTCTATTGGAAGCTTTTTCCAGTGAAACCGAGGGATCCACCTCCAAGTGGAATTATTTATGTCCTCATGTGTGACATTTTTGAGATTTCCATTTCAAGATCCTTTTATTTTGATAGTTTTTTGAAGATTTTTAAAGATACTTTACAATCTGCAGGGACTACCAAGTCAATAAGAAAGCATATTTTGTCTTTTCAGTCTCTAATCACGATGTCTCGGTGATTAGCTTTCATTTTTTCTCTGTTTATTGCAAAGTCCCATAAAATTATTACAGTTCTTATCTCTGTAACCGGGTTTTGGGTGATGTTCATACCAGTTTCTTGCAGTTTCGTTTCCATAAAAGTTGCAGATTTTCCAGTGCAGATATTGGCCCACTTTACCATGACGAATTTTGTATTCACTTGTGCAAACTGATACAAGATGATCAATTGTTTCTGGATATTTATCACTGAATCTGCATTTCAGGTTAACACAATTTTTCAGTATGTGTGTTTAGTTAGCAAACATTGGTCTTGTGCAGCAAGAATAAATACTTTAGTTTCAGCTTTTAACCCTGCACTCTGTAACCACTGATGGTTACGGAGTTTGTCTATATCTGTATGTTTGATATGGGTGGAGTATTGTCCATGAAAAGGCTTATCTTGCTATCATTTCTACATTTGGTCCATTGCATTTACTTTTGACTTTTTAGGTTCATTGCCTCTGCATTAGGTGCATTTGTACTTCTTCACCCAACTGAAATTCCATTTTGAATTTGTTGGCTTCCTTTATTACTGAATACAGTTTCTTATTTCTTTCATATTTCATGACACAGATCATCATGTAGTTTCCTGTAGTTTCCAGGTATCTTTGAAGACTGATTGTTGTGATTTTGTAAGACAGTTGAACTAATCCTCTGCCTCCTTTGGATCTGGGTACATATAGATGATCAACATCAGCCTTAGGATGATGCATGCAGTTAGCAAGTGAGAACCTTTCTTGTTTTGGTGTCCATTGGCTTAATATCAGCTATGGTCCAGTTAAGGATGTTGAAACTGTATTGCTCCACAGGAACAGCCAAACTCTTTATGGCTGATATTCTGTTTTGCGAATTCAACACTGTATTTAACATCAGATGCACATGCCTGTAGTATTCTTTTCTTACGTTCTGCTTCATTTGGGTATGCTGTATTCCATCACATTTGCTGACCCCTAAGTATTTATAGGCTTCTTTCTGTTCCAATTCCTTAATCTTTGGGACAAAATCTTGATCTATTGAAGGTGTTACTGTAATTCTCCCATTCTTGAATGTTACTTTTTCACATTTACCTAATCCAAAATCCATACCATTGTCATGATTGAAACATTTTACAGTATTGAGGAGACCCTTCAACTCATTGACATCTTTGCCAAAGGATATCATCCATGCAGAGTAGGTGATTAAATACTTTTTTGTTTATTTTGTATTCATAGTTATTGCTCAGTTTATGAAAAATGAGGACAAAATAGAAGGTGTTACAGGGAGTCTCATTGAAAGATTTCTCATTGGATATTCAAACAATGAGAAGTGACAGTACTTTTGGTGTGATTTAGGTATAATATGGTTTTCCACAGTTCCATTTAAGGAAATTTACTACAACCAGAGAAACTTTTGAAAGCCTTAAGTATCCAAGAGTGTGGCACATTATCAAAGGCTTTATGATAATCTATCTAATTTGTGGTGAGATCTCTATCTTTTTTTCCTGCAATTTTCCAAGATTATTTTATTTATTAGTAATTGATATTCGCAACCATATGAATCTCTTCGACATTCCTTCTATTCCAAAGGTAGAATGTTGTTTTCATTAAGAAAAGAGTAAGTACAGTTTATCATGACATATGTGACCAGTTTATATGTAGTGGACAGATGTGTTATTTGCCTATTATTTTTTGGATCATCTGTTTCACCTGTTTTGTGTAGGAGATATGTAATACCTTCTGTGATCCATTCTGGAATTTTATTGGGGTTATTAATTAGTGTTGATAAAGTTTGTACAAGAGTTTTATGGATTGATGACAGAGCTACAAGTTGGGTACCTTGTCATATATTGGTAATATTTTTCCATTCTTTCCTTCATTCTTTCTTGTTCCCATTTGATCCATTCAACATTGGGATTATATTCCTTTGGGTTGCTCCAAATATTCCCCCAAAACGTTTGCACTTCTTCAATAGATTTTTTGATTTCTATAAGTGCTTTAATTTCCCTGCAAAACTTCTTCAGGTCCATTTGGAATACTTTATTTTGTCAATAGAACCAACATCTTTCATATTTTGTACCTACAAGGCTTTTCATATTGGATCATTTTGTTTACTATAATAATAATAATAATAAGAAGAAGAAGAATCATTTTGTTCATTATTATTATTATTATCATCATTATCATAATTCTCCCTCTATTAATTAGTAAGTTAGCACCTGCAGTAAACCTTGCCTTTATCTTAGCTAAATGATGAACTGTTCTGCTTTGACTGTGAGGAAAGATGGAAGAAAAAGATATATCAAGGACATTGTCTGGTTTTAGTGACAAAAAGACGTACATATTAAGACAAAGAAAGAAAGAAAGAAAGAAAGAAAAAAAGAAAGAAAGAAAGGGAAGATGGACAATAACACCCACGTGCATATAATGCCAACTTTAGTGAAATAAAAAACTTTATCAATTTAAAATCTTTTCGTTTGTACCCTCTGACTTCTTAAAATAATTCATGCTTAAAATTGTAAAATACAGAAGGAAAAGGTATGTTAGAGAAAAGAAAGTATACATAAGAATAAGAAAGAAAAAAAAATGAAAGAAAGAAGGAAAGAAAGAAAGAAAGAAAGAAAGAAAGGGAAAAATAGAGGAGGTGATAATGTTCTTGTGTTCTAGTGAAATGGAAGCTCATGTCAATTTTGAATCTTTTCATTTGTACCCTTTTACTTCTTAAATAATGACCTGAATTCATACCTATGGGGATTTTCTAAGTGTAGCTTAGATGTGGAAGTGAGACCAAAAATGTGGAGCACCCAGTGAGGATCGAACTCACTACTCAGTCATAATTAATCAATGATGCAAACTTGCTAACCATTACACCATGTCAAAATACCCAATTGATTTTCTAAGCATAGCTTAGATGTGGCACAAGGCCAAAAATATGGAGCACCCAGTGAGAATTGAACTCACTACTCAGTTATAATTGATGTAGCAAGACAAGCTTGCTAACTATTACACCATGTCAAGATGCACCTGTATTAATACTTATGATTGTTAGTATCATATTTGGTTAAAGGTGTTAAACTCAAATATTTAACGATGCAATATGGGTATTTCCACAGGTATTTTGTAGTCATCAAACTTCTCGGCTTATTTCGTCATTAGATTCAAAATGATAATTAAAAAGAAAATTAAAATAGGAAAACTGTAAAATTTTTCACAGGTATTCGTAGTTATTATTATGCAAGTAAAACATTTTCATTTATTTTTGTTGTTGTTGGTTTTCTGCTGTTGATGATAATGATAATGATGATGATATTATATTGTTGATGAGGATGATGGTGATATTGATGATGGTGATGATTACTATGTTCTTGTTGTTGATAGTAATTACTGTGTTGTTGTTAATGATGATGATGATGATGATGACTATTTTACTACTGGTACTGCTTCTACAACTACGACTTGGATTTATTTGTTGCTATGCTATTTGTGAATAATTTGCATATTTAAACTCGTTCATGTCTGCTTGTCACTTACAAGATTGGGGCATCACATTCTTCGTACTCCTATTTGGTCTGGTATCAGACTTTAATAAAAATCAGCTCCAGATATTTCATAAAGTTTACCAATGAGAATCAAAATCAAAAAAAAGAATCCTGATTTTTTTTGTCATGGATAAAGATATCAGTGTTGGCCTAAGTGGTGGCGGCAGAATGGTACAAACAGGTCATTTGCCCCTCACCTCCCCAGATCAACAGGTCATTTGCATTTTATTCTTGTTTAGACACATACTCAATAAAGGATAATGGTGAAGTACAATAATTTTAGGCAACCTCAACTTTATGTTCCCATAAAAAAAGAAAATTGCATTATTATTTGTTGATAATCAATTAGAGAGATACAAATATATCCTTTGGCTACAGCTTTGGAGAAGTGTCAACCTGTCCCCCTTTGAAAAAGTATCAGTAGATACTCAGGAGATAGAGACATGGTGGATGGAAACACAAAGTGTATCTGTCAACAATATGACAGTGAAGTGGTTAAAACACACTAAAACAATTTTTAATTCTTATGAAAAAAAAGAAAAGAAATTCTCCACCATTTTCCCTTTTTTTTTTTCTCTTTTTGTCTCTTTTTTTCTTAGTATTTCATTTCTTTTTTTAATTCAGTCTTTCTCTTTTTGTCTTTCTCTATCTTTCTCTCTGTAGTTATTTTATTGCTTCTCTTTTGCTTAATCAATCTGTTTCACTTTGTCTTTCTCTCTTTAAATTTCTCTCTGTGTCTTTCATTTTCTATCTAGTTATTTCATTGTCTGTTTTTTTAATCAGTCTGTATCTCTTTGTATTTCTATCTATTTGTCTCTCTTTTTTTCTGTAGCTATTTCATTGTCTCTGTTTTTTTACTCACTCTGTCTCTCTTTGTATTTCCCTCTTTCTACTTCACTATTTGTCTCACTTTTTCTCTGTGGATATTTTATTGTCTCTCTTTTTAATCAGCCTGCTTTCCTTTCTATTCCTCTCTTTCTATATACCAGGTTGTCTCTTTTTTTCTCTGTGGTTATTACATTGTCTCTCTTTTTTAATCAGTCTGTCTTCCTTTCTATTTTTCTCTTTCTATTTCTCTATTCATCTCTCTTATTTTCTTCTTACTTTCTTTTTTATTTTCTTCAACTTTCTTGTTCTTTCTTTCTTTCTTTCTTTCTTTCTTTCTTTCTTTCTTTCTTTGCTATTTTGTCTCTCTTTCTCATTCTTTTTGTCTTCAAAGATTTTTTTTCACACTTTCTCTTTTTATCTCTGTTTCATGTTTGTTTCCCTTCCTCCATTACTTGCAAGGATTTTGTGTGCTGTCGATAACCATTTCCAAAGCTTTTAACTTCTACTTTCAAAAACTCTAATCCCTGGCAGCAGAGACAAAAACAACCACAGCAGTAGTAGCAGCAGCAGCAGCAAAAACTATTAGCTCTCTTTAGTACTTTTCTTGTCTATTTCTTTTCTTTTCTTTTCTTTTTTTGCTCTACTGAGAAAAAGAGAAATTGTTAAAAAAAAAACAAAACAAAAGAAAAACGAAGGAAAAATAGTTCTTCCAAGATTTAGAAAAAAATTCTAGACTCAGTTCACCCCTAAAAAAAAAAAAAAAAAAACAAAGAAAAAAGCCAGGAGGGGTTTTGGTTCATCCAGACTGTGTCAGTATTCCATTAATTCAATAAGTGAACTCAGCAAGTTTTCTTATGTGGTACTTACCTTAAGCAAGTCTCTTTAACTACCTGTAGAAAACCTGGCAGCTTCCAGGTGGAAGCAGATGCTTTTACCTAACAGACTTAGAATGGTTTTTCAAAAGGAACCAACAACAATATAACAGCAGAAAGAGGTTTCAGTTTACGTATATATATATATGTATATATAAACCTCTTTATAATGATACTGTAGTTGTTTCCTTTTGAACAACAATATGTTTGCACAGATAATAGCTAGCTACTCATTTCTGAGCACACCTGTCTGCTAGGGTATCTCATCAATCCCCGTCACAGATCCCTGCACAGGCAGATTTCTGATTGTTCAACACTCACAGCACCCACCTATAGTTCATGCTGCAGCTGTTCTGGTGGGCTTTCATTACAGTTTCTGGGAGAGAGTACATAATCTAGCAAGAACAACAGTGTAAAAAAGGACAGTACACTCATACCCTCGGCCATGATGACTTATTCCTTCATACTAGCACAGCATCAACAGATACCAAACTGTTTTGTCTACCTAATTTCACTAATTTTGCCTCCCCATCTGATAATACCAAGAAGTCATTTGACAAATTGACAAATTCAAATTCAGGTTTCATGCTTCAAATCACTTGGCCATACTCAAAAATGTAGACATACATGCATATATACATATATATGATGGCCCGAAAATTGTGTTCAGACATGAAATAAATTGTCGCCACATGGTGTTGAACATAGTACTGATACTACTACAACTTGTGCTAATAATACTAACAACAATGCTGCTACAGCTATGACTGCTCCCTCTTTTACTATTTTTTAACACTAAAGTTCATTCAATATAGGGTTCGAGAGCCACTCAAGGTAGAAGGTTACTATTAAAATAGTTATGAATGAGGTGGAATATAAGTCAAAGAGGAGGTGGTAGGAAGTGAAGATTAAGAAGATAAGGAAGATAGATAAATAATTGATGTTTGACATAAAAAGATTGAGACTACTACTACTACCATTACTACTACCGCTATTACTACTACTACTGCTATTACTACTACTACTATTACTATTACTACTACCACTATTACTACTACTACTGCTATTACTACTACTATTACGATTACTACTACTACTGCTATTACTACAACTACTATTACGATTACTACTACTGTTGCTATTACTACTACTACTATTACTACTGTTGCTGCTACCGTTGCTACTATTATTACCATTACTCTTATTTCTTGTTTTATTATTTGTAAAGAATTTATGCTATACACACACATACACACACACACACAAACATGCACACGCATATACATAGAGGCATGTACACAAGTAGATATGCAAAAGTTCAGGAAATGTTACCTTGAAAAAATGTAAAAGAATCTAGTTGCAGGCGTCTACTTCAAAGTAGTCCAGAGTAATTTTATGTCCACTGATTAAATGCCCAAAACTTTTGAATAAAACCCAGAATTTGTGCTTTTCCCCCCCCTCTAAACCAACCACATTCCAAAACTGGACATCTACAAAATATAAAGAAAGAGTAAATTTATTTTGTTTTGTCTGTAAACAAAAAAAAATCATCCCTCCTCTAAAAAACACTGCCAACAACAAACGCAACAGTGAAAAAGATGGAAAATTATAGGTACTATGAAAAAAAGTGACAAATCATAACTGACTCATAATTTGACCTGCAAAGGTTGATAAAGCATAAAATCAATCAATCAATAAAAATGTCCAATGTTTTACTTAACCATAAAGTTAACTTAGATAAAAATGGCATAAAGAGAATAAGAAGAAAAAATGTTACATTTAATTTTTGCATTCTAATTAATAAATACCAATTCAACTAAATATTGCACCACCTGGAATGGACCACACACCTCTCCCCACTTTAAGTCTAATATAATAAGATCTTAAATTTATTTATGCATACATGAAGTCTGTTCAGAATGTAACCAATTATTTTCAATATCACAAGAACCAGTTGTGGGGCCTTGATGTGTCTTTTTTCAAATGTTCTTTAGGGATTTAATTTTAAAAGATTTAGCTGCGAAAAGGATAATACATGCAACAACATATTTGAAATTCCTAAATGATACATTTTCAATTATTATTACTTTCTCTTCTAGGGGCCATGTCCCTTCTAGACGTTGGTGATCATAGCTCTCCACTATTTCCTGTTTTTGCAGCACATAAAAAATTTTGTCTTTTTGTTATCTCTCCTAAAACTTGTTCTGCCATCAAGCTTTTCATGTAGGTTGTTTTCCTTTGTCCCTCTTACCTTCAATCTGTCCTGTGAGTATAAAATTCTCCAAGCCTTCTTTCTTCATTATGTGCCTTAGAAATTCTGTCTCTTTCTGATTTTGCTTCCATTTTCTCTGAGATTTCATTGTTGTTCACATGTTTGGTCTGTGGCATTATCATCACCCTTCTGTAGAAGCACTTTTCTGTTCTTTCAAGTCTATACTTCATCTGCGAGAAGATTGTCCAGCATTTACTGCCATATAGAAGGATTGATATCATGTAACATTTCAGTACTCTTTCATTTATTTCTAATGGAGATTTTCTATTTCTTAATACTTTGCTTAGCTTTTGAAATATATTCCAATATCCCTTCTGATTTTGGTGTTACATTTACTGTCCTCTGTTAAAACACCAAATATTTTAATTATTTTACTTATTTGATCTTGGTATCTCCAATTTATAATTACTATTTATATAATTTTATTTCTATGGCTTGTTTATACCAAGTGTAACAACAATATATATATATATATATATATATATATATATATATATACCGGGTGTAACAGTAAAATTATCCAAATTATGTTACAGCATAAAATTGTCCATCCCACAAAATGTTTAATATCTAAAAAACCACTAAACTAATTGAGTTTCTTTTTTTTCAAATTTTCAGATAAGACGTTTAGCCATCTTGACAACATTTATCATAAGAATCACTGAAAAACCCTTTGAGTTACTCAGCTTGAAAGCGAACAGGTTAAAATCGTTTTGTGTCAGACCCACTATATCTTCCCAATGGTGACAGGGATAAGATCACTTATGCCTGCAGTAATTGTACCAACATCTATACCTTGGGTTTCATCTTCAAAGTCCATTCAAGAACCTTGAAGAGAACGGTGAATAAGTTTAAAAAAGAGGGAACAGTAGAGAGGAAAACTGGATCAGGATGTCAAAACAAGAAGAGGGATCATCATTTCAACTTAGAGCTAAAGTGATCAATTAGAAAAGATCCAACTCAATCCATAAGACGTTTGGTACACGAGAGAGGAGTTTCAGCTATGACAGTCCAAAAAGCAGTAAAAAAAACTTGAAAATGAAATTGTACATGAAACATGTGAGGCACCTTGTTACTCCAGGGCAGAAAGTTAGAAGCTTAGAGAGGTTGAAGATCATCTTGGATAAGTTGGAAAATGATCCTGGAATAATATATATATATATATATATATATATATATATAAATAAGTTTTTCGTTTATTAATTTAATAATAGACAGGAAAAGACAATATTTATAAGGCATTTTTAAAAGCAAAAGCTAAAATAAAAACAACCGGTTTCGTCCCAGGACTTATCAATTTTTTTTATTCTGGGAATTTAAAAAGTGTGTAAATTAATTTTTAATTAACGAACGTAATCGAATGGGGAAAAAAAAATTATGAATTTCAAGAAACTAGAGTCCAATAACATTCAGACCCAGCAAGCATTCCCTCCAGAAATGATTACAAAGGGAAGGCTCACGAGATCTGATATACAAGGACTCTAGAACCTTGAGGAGTGGGACCTAGATAAAATTGTAAATCGGTCACCACTAAAAATTTTCCACGCATTTATTAAATGTTCAGCAATAGCAGAACCAGAACTGTTAGTCAGTTGGCTATTCCTGGAGGATGATATATATATATATATATATATATATATATATATATATATATATATATATATATATATATATATATATATATATATATATATATATATATATGAATATTATTTCAATCCTTCATGAACTTTCAATCCTTAGCTATGGTTGATTAATAAAGAACGTGCCATTCCGTTTATGATCAATTTCATCACCGATTCTTCTGTTAAGCATGGAGTGTAATGATATATTCTTATGGCTCAAAGGCAAGTCCAATAGTGTTCTAAAAACTTTGAAGAATTCCTGTAAGATATATTATTTCTAAGATACAACAATTCAAAGCTTAATCTAACAAATGGACAATTTTGCCGTTACACCTGGTATAATAGGAATAGACTAATTATTTTTGCTAATTATTGATTTTAATTATTGTAATTTATAATATTTCTTTTTCAATTATTATTAATTTTTTACTAGTATTTCTTTCATCTTATTTCTCTTGCTTTTACACCAAGAATAAATAATTGTAACTTCTATCTTTATTTCTGAGATGTAGTATTGTACCTATTTACACTATTTACATTGTTCAGATTATTGTTCACATCTTTACTGTCCCATTCATAATGTTTCAGCCATTGTACACTACAGCCTTCTTCAGGTGATATTTGTTGGATTTTCAAATCAAACTCTTTATTTACTTCACA